GATTCTCCTGCCTCAGACTCCCAAGTAGCTAGGATTACAGGTGCCTGCCACCATGCCCAGCTAATTTTTTGTATTTTTAGTAGAGATAGGGTTTCATCATGTTGGCCTGGCTAGTCTCGAACTCCTGACCTCAGGTGATCTGTGTGCCTTGGCTTCCCAAAGTGCTGGGATTACAGGCATGGGCCACCATGCCTGGCCTTAAAGCAGTCGTTTTAATCCCCTCTCCTTTTGAATTTTGTTAAGAAACTGTTTCTTTGAGAGAACATCTTATGAAGAAGCCCAACCGTGGGGACCCCAGCCCATGGGGCATGGTTTGGAGGCTCCCTGGGGTGCTGCATGCAGGGTGTGACTGTGGAAGAGGGTGGCTGTGCAGGATGATTACTGAGGGTGAGGGCAGGGGTCCTGTCACTGCACCCGTTCTTCTCCCTCAAGGTGGACCACATCCTGCGCCAGGCAATGTCTGCCCCAGGCGTGGCTGCCATGTCTGCAGTTGTCATCCACAATGATACTGTGCTCTGGACAGGGAACTTTGGGAAGAAGAATGGCTCAGACCCGGCTTCTGGGGCCCCCAATGAGTACACCATGTACAGGTCAGCGGGGCGATCTCTAGGGTCCTGTGGAGGGGTAAGGGATGGGAGGGCAAGGGGGACCTAGGAGATAAAGATACTGAAGAGAATCATGGCTGGGGTCTAATCTGCCAGGGCCTATTATGAAGTCTTGACAATTTTATAGAAGAGGAGACTGAAGTCCAGAGAGGACCAGTGAGTGCCCAATGTTACATCACAGGGGTAAAAGGTCAGGAAGGAATCCCTTCTGGAAAGAACCTTAGCCCTAAACCTCCCAAATTAGAAAAGGCTACCTTGTGCCCATCCCCCCAACCCTGATCATGTGTCACAAAGGAGCCATAACCAGTTCCTGAGTCCTTGCTGCAGGTCCCTTCAAGTGGCAGCAGTGGCCCAGACAGAAACAGCTGGAGACATTCAGTTGCATACATGGAGTCTCCCCTCCTGCGTGCTGCCTGCAGGATCCTCAAAGCTCATGATGCAGAGTGAACACATTTGTTCCTGGGGACACTGTGGGTTTTGCAGGAGTCCAAAGGGAATTGCACTTAAACTGCACCTGCTCTGTGCCAGGTATGGGGCCGATAGCTCTATGTGCTATCATGTATTGAGCACTTACCACCTCCCAGGTATGTAGACAGGCACTCTGCATGCACAACCTCGTTCCATCCTTTTATTAATACAACCGGTGAAGCAGGCAATGAAACTGAATCGTAGATGGGTCTAGAAACTTGCCCAAGGCCACATGACCAGTGAGAGGCAGAGGCACCATCCAAACCCAGGTCTGTCCTTGAATGAGAAATGGCTGGAAAAGAGCCTGGCACAGGGTATCCATCCCACCTCAGCCCCTTGGCTTCTGGTTATGTTCTCAAGCATCCCAAAGGCAGCTCCACAGAGGCTGGTTAATTTCTGTTGGAAATGTTGACTTAAGCAGGGATGCAGTGCTTTTCTAGAATACTAAAAAGTTGCAGACTGGGGGCAGGAGGTGGGTTGTGGGACCAACAGGATGCCCTTTGACCCCTTGTGTTCCCCACATTATCTAGGATCTCCAGCATCTCCAAGATCTTTCCCGTTCTCATGCTGTACCGTCTGTGGGAGGAGGGCATTGTGGCCTCCCTAGATGACCCTCTGGAGCAGTACGCCAGCACCTTCACCATTAACAACCCGCTGGGCCTGGCATCAGCCCCCGAACAGCAGGGCCTGATGGACAGGCTGGAGCAGGTGGGCCCCGCTCCAAGGCCTTCGCCTGTCACCCTTCGAAGGATGGCCAGCCAGCTCTCAGGTGAGTCTCAGAGCTGACTCAGGCTAACCCAAACCATTTCAGGTGGGGAAGCTGAGGAGCAGGTTCTCATCCAGCCAGGCTGGGCTCACTCTTGGCTCTGCTTTCTGAACTGGCCCTACGTCCCACTCACCGGACGTGGGTGGTGGGCCAAGGAAAGAAACATCTCTAGAGGTAAAAACTGAAGCCTGGACATTTAGATCAAGTAGAAATATCAAGATGAGTTGGCAGGTCTTACCCATCAATGCAGGTCAAAATCAAGTTGAGAAGGCAAGAGCAAGTCAATGAGTCAATATGAGGACAGGCTCAGGGGCTCATGCCTGTCATCCCAGTGCTTTGGGAAGCCGAGGTGGGAGGAGCCTAGGAGTTCTAAACCAGTTTGGGCAACATAGTAAGACCATATCTCTAAAAATTTTAAAAAACAGCCCAGGCATGGTGGGTACACACCTGTAGTCTTAGCTATTTGGGAGGCTGAGGTGGGAGGATCACTTGAGCCCAGGAGTTGAAGGCTGCACTGAGCTATGACTGATGACATAGTAAGATCCATTCTCTAAAAACAAAAGGCTATATTTGTAAACAATTCTACAAGGAAGACCTAATTTCCCTTAATATATAAAAGTCACCTACAAATTATTACAAAGATCAACAGCCCAACAGAAAAATGGGTAAAGGAGAGGAACAGAATTGACAGCTCACAGAAAATACTCTTAAGAATATTAAGGGCTAGGAGTAGGGGGAAGGGGGGAGGGATAGCATTAGGAGATATACCTAATGTAAATGACAAGTTAATGGGTGCAGCACACCAACATGGCACATGTATACATATGT